ATAGGTGAGACTATTAATAAAAAGTATAATTAATCAATTGATTTAGAATAGGTATCACCTATATTGCAAGAGATCCTAAATTTGTTCTCATAACATAAATTTCAAACCAGATTTCCCACATTGGATGGAAGTTTTCATTCAAAAAGAAATTTTACGAACGTACGTACGATATCGTTGTGGCTGATTAATGCGCCGTACACATTCCAGCATTCCTTCCCTCAAGATATTACGTAATATTTGTCACTACCCTATAATTTTTCATGGTTCCAATTCCTAATCGGAATCTTGACCTGTTAATTTGAATTTTGTTGAAACTAGTTTGGAATTTTTGTAACAGTAACAAAGTCCCAGGACCATTGATATAATAAAATCAGTATAAAGTGAATGAATTTTTGTTTTGGTCATTGTCACTTGGTGCCGAAAAGGTTTGGGTAGAGAAACGACTGTAATAATGTCAAACTTTATATAATACGTATAGCTGAAATTTATATTTAAAAGACATGTCGGCTCAAAGTACAAAACAACTTGCAGAATTTGGAAGGCAACATATTTCACGTGGAATAAGTCGGAGCACTAACTTGGTCATTGAACGAGCCAAAGGCTCTTATATATATGACGTTCAAGGAAAAAAATATTTAGATTTTTCGTCAGGTATAGGTGTAACTTCTTTAGGTGAGAACTTTTTTTTTTTTTGCCTGACGATCGTGTACAAAAAATTATTTTCATATTACGTAATTTTGAGTATTCAACTGCACTAAGGTTGAAGGAATATGAAATATTAGAAAATTAAAAGATTGCATTATTCGCTTATGGTCCATGGTGGACCCCGAATAATTATAACAGATGTTATATTAGCGGTTTTCTGATATTTGATTGGATATAAACCTTTTTAACCAATCAAATTGCTTAATTTTGCAAAATTTTGACCTCTTAGCTATTTTTCAAATAAGACTTCCATTAGTATTATTCGGGGTCCTGTCCATGGTCTATGTTCTACGTACTTAATTTTTTACTTTGTTAATAATGCAAA